ATAGTCCCAGGGATGGATGGCTGGGTCCCCCATTAGTCCCAGGGATGGATGGCTGGGTCCCCATTAGTCCCAGGGATGGAGGGCTGGGTCCCCATTAGTCCCAGGGATGGAGGGCTGGGTCCCCATTAGTCCCAGGGATGGAGGGCTGGGTCCCCATTAGTCCCAGGGATGGAGGGCTGGGTCCCCATTAGTCCCAGGGATGGATGGCTGGGTCTCCATTAGTCCCAGGGATGGATGGCTGGGTCCCCATTAGTCCCAGGGATGGATGGCTGGGTCCCCATTAGTCCCAGGGATGGATGGCTGGGTCCCCATTAGTCCCAGGGATGGCTGGGTCCCCATTAGTCCCAGGGATGTCCCAGGGAGGCTGGGTCCCCATTAGTCCCAGATGGAGGGCCGGGTCCCCATTAGTCCTAGGCTGGCCCCCATGTGATTTGGCCGGGTCCCCATCAGTCCCAGGATGGATGACAAGTCCCCACAGTCCCAGGATGGAGGGCTGGTCCCCACTAGTCCCAGGATGGAGGGCTGGGTCCCCATTAGTCCCAGGGATGGATGGCTGGGTCCCCATTAGTCCCAGGGATTGATGGATGGAGGGCTGGGTCCCCATTAGTCCCAGGGATGGAGGGCTGGGTCCCCATTAGTCCCAGGGATGGATGACTGGGTCCCCATAGTCCCAGGGATGGGTCCCCATTAGTCCCAGGGATGGAGGGCTGGGTCCCCCATTAGTCCCAGGGATGGAGGGCTGGGTCCCCCTTAGTCCCAGGGATGGAGGGCTGGGTCCCCCTTAGTCCCAGGGATGGAGGGCTGGGTCCCCCTTAGTCCCAGGGATGGAGGGCTGGGTCCCCCTTAGTCCCAGGGATGGAGGGCTGGGTCCCCCTTAGTCCCAGGGATGGAGGGCTGGGTCCCCCTTAGTCCCAGGGATGGAGGGCTGGGTCCCCATTAGTCCCAGGGATGGAGGGCTGGGTCCCCATTAGTCCCAGGGATGGATTGCTGGGTCCCCATTAGTCCCAGGGATGGATGGCTGGGTCCCCATTAGTCCCAGGGATTGATGGATGGAGGGCTGGGTCCCCATTAGTCCCAGGGATGGAGGGCTGGGTCCCCATTAGTCCCAGGGATGGATGACTGGGTCCCCATAGTCCCAGGGATGGATGGCTGGGTCCCCCATTAGTCCCAGGGATGGATGGCTGGGTCCCCATTAGTCCCAGGGATGGAGGGCTGGGTCCCCATTAGTCCCAGGGATGGAGGGCTGGGTCCCCATTAGTCCCAGGGATGGAGGGCTGGGTCCCCATTAGTCCCAGGGATGGAGGGCTGGGTCCCCATAGTCCCAGGGATGGAGGCAGAGTGGATCCAGTAACTCACCCAGGAAGTAGAAGGTAATGCAGTTTAGACACATGCAGTAAAAGCCTTAAGGCTGTCCTGAACAATGCCTGATTCCAATCTTTTCCTAAATACTCATATTTTTGTCTATTCTACATTTGAAATAAGATAACATTGTTAAAACAGCTGTTTTAGTTCTCAAAGACAATAAAGGAGGGTATGGTCGTGAGCTTTTTAACAGGCAGAGCCTGGGCAGCTAAATGCAGGACCCCAGCCCAGCTCTTCACTCAGGAAGTGAGTATTTGTGCTGCCTAGTAACCCATAGACATAGTAACCAACCTGGCTGAGGGGTCCTTCCAGTCAGTCTAGGCTGCCCGAACGGTGCCTGATTTAAATCACTTCATATAAAAACCCATAGACATATTATATGTCTATGTAAAAACCTGTCTGCTTTGCAGTGTAAACATTGATATTAAGGTGGCATTTTATTGCTGTGACATGTTTATCAGGCACAGCATGGACAGCTAACTGCAGGACCCCAGCTGAGAATGCAGCATGTTTGGTTCTTTTAAAGGGCCACTCCACATGTTTGACTTCATTTTCTTTTTATTAAATAAAACCCTTTCCTTTTATTGAGATTGTTCCAGCCAAACTATTTTTCTGGTCAAATGTTTTTGCCAGTCAACTATTTCAGAAATTAGCCTTTAGAGCTGGACTGTCAAACGCCAGCCCCCAAGATGTTCCTGGACTACAATCCTCATAATCCATGTATCTATTTATTGCAATTAAAGCATTCTGAGGTTTCTAGTCCTTAAACCTTTGAGGGGAAGCAGAGTTTGGCAACCCAGCCCTTGAAGGAGAACAGACAGTGAAATGTATGGAGATATTTGCTCCTTTTTTTAACATTGAAGTGCAATAGAATAGGGTTGGATACATGCAGTCTCTCCAATAAATACATTTCTTAAATGCAAACATACACAATTAAACCCTGTGCTCAAACTCCCATTAATCCTGGGGGTCAGCAATGACCATAATACCCCCAATATATACAATAAAACCAAAGAAAAAAAAGTTACCTGTGCACTATCCCAAATCTCTATGCACATTTAAATAACTAGAGGTTTTTTAGTATCACTCCAATAGCCTTTTAAGTGTAAGCTCACCTGCCACGTCAAGGCAAAATCTCTTAGAGGAGTCCTACAATAACAATTCACCTTGCTGTCTTCCGCAATAAGGTTAAATCTCTAATAATATAGAGAGGGGTATTTTTCTAAACCATTACATAGTTATATAGTTACACAGGCTGAAAAGAGACTTGCGTCCATCAAGTTCAGCCTACCTCACCTTTGTTTTTGCTGTTGATTCAAAAGAAGGCAAAAAACCCAGTCTGAAGCGCTTCCAATTTTGCAACAAAATTCCTTCTTGACCCCAAAATAGCAGTCAGATGTCTCCTTGGATCCAGCAGCTATTACCCCACTAATTAGAAATTATATCCCTGTATGTTATGTTTTTGCAAGTATTTATCCAATTGCAGTTTAAACATCTGTATAGACTCTGACAAAACCACCTCTTCAGGCAGAGAATCCCATATCCTTATTGCTCTTACTGTAAAAAAAACCTTTTCTTTGCCTTAGATTAAATCTCCTTTCTTTTAATTACCCACTTATTAACCCTTAATCGGGAACACATGGGGTGGATGGAAGCACTGTAACATGGCTGTGTGATACATAAAAAAATACAAATATGCAAAATGAAGCCCTGCTCTCAGAGCATTTCTTAAATGGTATATGTACTAATTGCAGATTTAAAGGAACACTCTAACACCATTACCACTAAGTCGCACTGTAGTAGTTATGGTGCCAGAAGTGCCCTAACTCCTCCCCAGTGTAATTACCCAAACCATTTTCTAACGGTTGACCAAAGTAGCCAGCTATGCTTTTATTTCAGCTACCGGTACTCTGGCCTTAATTTTAAAAATCACTTTGAATTCTCAATTTAGTAGATTTCCCTGATAATGTGCCCCCATAAAGTAAAAGTACGTGGGGTCTGCCATTTACCTACTCTATGAGAGTCAGAAGATCATTGCATCGAGCTAAGCTCCGCAGTGCAGTTAATGCTCTCAGCCAATTAGCTGGCTCTGTACAGCGTGGTTTAGCTAAGGAGTACCAAAGGAAGCTCCATGCTGGAGCTTTAAGCTTTCCCTACAGGAATTTATTAGATGCCAAAGAGATCCGAGGTAAAAAGCTAAACCGTTAGCAAACTGAATTTCTGGCACCACAACCACTATATCACGGGTATAGTGCTTGGAGTGTTCCTTTAACTAAGAGAATACAAGTAAATAAATGGGACTGGTTAGTATGGGGGCATGTTATCAGGGACATTTACTAAATTGAGAATTCAAAGTGATTTTTAAAATTAAGGCCAGAGTACTGGTAGCTGAAATGAAAGCATAGCTGGCTTAATTTTAAATTCACCTTAAATTCTTACATTAGTGAATAATCCTGTATATATAACTAACAGATATATGAGTTTAAAAAATATATATCTGTAGAAAAAATTAAAAAAGGTGCACTTTTATTTATGTTTATTTTTTCTGTGATTATTTTTATTTTTCTATTTTTTTTTTCTATGGTTTACTAAAAGTGAGTTATGGAGCTTATTTACACTACTGAAGTGCAGCTCTTTTAATTTTTTCTGTTTCATGAAGTGAATTGCCACAGTGCCATCTATTCACTTGCTTTGGATTTTAGTATAAAATATATCTGCTCTAATGAGGGGGAAAAAAGCTGGAAACTCATGAAAAGTGCTGATCTGCTTTTTGTAGAATTAATATAAAGCAGGAAGCAGGAGTAAAATCCATTAAAACAACACTATCTAGCCCAGCGGTTCCTAAACCAGATCTCATGAGCCAGCAACAGTCCACGTTTTGTCAGAATCTCCATTGGATTAGAAAATACATAAATCCTTGATTGTTGGAGGGCTGCGAGGACTGGTTTGGGAACCACTGCAGTCTAGCCTATAAATTCCATCAGGGTTATTCAGTAAACTCTGAATTGTAATAGATGTATAAAGGGTGGAGCAGCTTTGATTCTGTAGCAATAACTGTCTGCGCCATTTTTTCAGTCATCTATTTTGTAGCATTTACTGTTTGCGCCACTTTTTTTTTAGTCATCTGCAGCGGTTTTTGTTTTGCATAACTTTTAAAATCAAAACTGTGACGCTTGCTATGTATAAAATGGTGCATCTCTGCGATTCTGTTTTCCTTCTGATTTTCTACACCACTCCCTGTGTGGTAACAATTATAAATTTAGTTAATTATACTGCTGTTGTAGACTAACTATATTGGGTTTATTCACTAAACTCTGAATTGTACTGAATTGAAATTTGAATGGTTAATTGGAGGGAAAAAGAATAATATATATATATATATATATATATATATATATATATATATATATATATATATATATATATAAATAATAACAGCTTTGTTATATTAGCCAAGATTTTTTGCAATTATGTTTCAATTTGCTGCAATTTGGAGTTTAGGGACAGGAATCATTACAGGTGGACACTTATCTGAATTCTCTGAGTCAGGATAATTTGGCCAAATGCTAAACATGTGTGGTCCATGCTGCTCACACTATAAAAGCTCCAGAGAGTGAAGGGCTTCTTTGCTGAAGAGTAGTGAGAGCTGTGCTTTGGCAAATTGTAGGATAGAGTGGAAGAATTTGGAACGATGGCTGATAAGTCTAACCAGAAGCCTCATCTCAATGTGGTCATCATTGGCCATGTAGACTCTGGGAAGTCCACCACAACTGGTCACCTGATCTACAAGTGTGGGGGGTTTGAACCAAGAGCACTGGAGAAGGTGGAGGCAGCTGCTAATCAGGTGAGTCTCTACTCACAGGGTGCTTCTATCTTAGGAAGCTGCTTTAACCCCATTTATTAGAAATTGGAGTAAAACTGTTAATGTGCTTATATTGTCCTGCCAAGGCTTCCAAAGTCCTAGTGTCTTGGCTAATGTAATTTAAGCCCTTCAGTGTCTTCTCTTACTTCTCTACCTCTTTAGACTTTTAAGTGTTTTAAACTGGTCTTTCTATGTAAATCTGTCCTACTTGTGACAATCATGTAATTTCATGTCTAATGCTAGCAATATCTGTGTAGACCCTGTCCCTGATGCTCTAATGCCCTCACTCCAAGAGCTGGCCCTGCCTGTATCAGGAGAGTTTATGGGAACCAGAGCTCCTGGTACAGAGGCACCATAACCACTACAGGGTGCTGTAGTTCTGGCAACTGAATTATTATCATCCATCATCTTTTAAAAAAAACAAAACCCCTAGATTCCATTCTAATGCTATAACTTAAAGGGACACTCTCGTCACTGGCCTGTGAAGTGTCACTTTCCCTTTAACCCTGTAGCTGAATGCATTGCATTTTCAGAGAAACTGCATGATTAACACTGCCTCTAGGGGTGACTACCATTCAGCCACCAAGCATGTTTTGCTGAGTTTAACTCCATGAAACTATGCTTTATGTCTGAACTATTTGCATGAGGTTGTCCAGCCTTCTAAATCCCTATAGGAAAACATTGATTACACTGTTTTTCCTATGGGAAGGCATAATGTGTATGTGCAGTGATTGTTGCACATGTGCATTAGGCTTGCCCTTGCAATGCTGCTGGAATATGATGTGTATGTAAAGGGTTATTTGCACCTCTGAATTGTACAGGGTTGCTATTGTGTTAGAAATACAGCTGTGTATAATGATACTGTAGTGTTCATTTAAACAGTCTTTTATGGCAGTCAGCCATACCAAAGACTGAGAATGTGTGGTTACAACTCTGTGGCTAAGGTTTGCAACTCTTTCTTCCTTAGATTGGTAAAGGATCATTCAAGTTTGCTTGGATCCTTGATAAGCTGAAAGCAGAGCGGGAACGTGGAATAACTATTGACATATCCCTGTGGAAATTCCAAACTAAGAGATATACCATAACCATCATTGATGCTCCGGGTCACAGGGACTTCATTAAAAATATGATCACTGGAACCTCTCAGGTACTCCTATTTAAAATGTCTTAGATTTTTCTGCTCTAGTTCAAAATGACTATGAATTTTATTTTTTCCTGGACTAACTAGACCCATTTCATTTTAGGCTGATGTTGCCATCCTGGTTGTCTCTGCAGCCACAGGCGAGTTTGAGGCTGGTGTCTCTAGAAATGGACAGACTAGAGAACATGCCCTTCTAGCTTACACCATGGGAGTCAAACAACTCATCGTGTGCGTCAACAAAATGGATGTGACTGAGCTTCCATACAGCCAGAAGCGGTTTGAAGAGGTTGTAAAAAATGTGACGGTTTATCTAAAAAAGATTGGTTACAACCCAACTACCATACCCTTTGTTCCTGTATCTGGGTGGACTGGAGAAAACGTAGCTTCTCCTAGTCTGAAGGTAATATTCTTCAGAGCAATTAAAGTACTTATTCTTGGTCAAAGCTGGAAATGTAAATATTCCCCTTTAAAGGGACACTGTAGGCACTACATCAACTGAACTGGTTATAGTGCCTGGAGTCCCCCTGACACATCCCTCTATGTGTTAAACCATTTTAGTATTTAACTTTTTAAAGTGCTCATTGCACGATTATGTGGTTTAAACATAATGGACATACAGGAGCAATGAGATGAAGCTAGTGTCCCTTTAAAGACTTTCCCTACACTTGATGTGGCATGGGTTCAACACTTCCTGAAGCTACCCTCATGATGTAAAACTGGATGACTAGCAAAACTACAAACCCCCAAACTAGACTAATTAGTTTTTTGTTTTTTTTTGTTCTGTTAATGCTTGTATTATACTTTGTACTGTTTCCCCAGATGAACTGGTTTAGGGGATGGAAAGTGAAACGAAAGGAAGGCTTTTCTAAAGGTCAGTGCCTTCTGGAGGTTCTGGACTGTCTCGTGCCTCCCGTGCGGCCAGCCAACAAGCCTTTAAGATTACCTCTTCAAGATGTCTACAAAATAGGTGGTAAGAACATCCCCAAGCTCAATCATTGCTGAGTTGAAACACTTAAAGCATGTCTTCTCTATGAAACTTTCCACATAACAGGTGGACTGGATGCAGCAAAACTTGTGATCAGATAGCAGATTGCCTGTATCTTTAGGTTACAAGCTTCACCTGTTAAAGTGGAAGACTTCCTTTTGTAAGCCTTTATCTTACACTGGTAGATCTGTTCTGAAGCCTAAACTTGCATGCTCTTATAAATTCTAGAAGCACTCCAGAATACTGCAGCTGAACATCATAAATTCCATCTGTCAATGTGGTGACTGCAGCCTTGGCTCTAGGCTTCATGAATCATTCCATGCTTCCACTTCACCTTCTAAAATGGCTGATCTGCTTGGAACAAATCCCACTCCAGAATGCATTTTATTCAGATTTATGCTCCTGGCACTAAATATCCATTGGCTTAAAGCAAAACTTCACACTGACAGTGAGACCCCATTAAAGATCAGGTGTGATGTCTGAATCTAAAGTGGGTTCTCAGTAGACTCTTATAACAGTCTCTGGTTCCCCATGACACTTTCTTTGGAAAGAAGCATAACTTGGCCAATGACCTGAAGTTTGCCTTGTTAATAGTGGCTGTTTTTGGAGGAGTCACTATTCAATTCATGTTTATGTATTTTCAGGAATTGGTACTGTCCCTGTTGGGAAGATTGAGACTGGAATTCTGAAACCAGGAATGACAATCTGCTTTGCCCCATCAAGCTTCACTGCAGAAGTGAAGTCCATAGAGATGCACCATGAGCCTGTCCAGACAGCACTGCCTGGTTACAATGTTGGCTTCAATGTAAAGAACATTGCGGTTAAAAGCCTCAGACGTGGTAACGTAGCTGGAAATTCAAAGACTGATCCACCAACTGAGGCCTCCACCTTTACTGCACAGGTACTAGAAAAACCAATAGATCTAACTCTAAATGAGTCAAGTGCTAAAACTGTTTAGAATAACATTGACAAATGTTATAAGTCTTCAATGGAAAAACCCCAATTGGGCAACTACTAGTATAGAAACTCATCTGTCATAACAGCTTGTAATAACCACTTAAATGCATGGACAATCTCTCAGGTGCCATCTGGTGGTTTTTCCACATAATGTAGACTGAGGCAATAAACAGAAAAGTGGAGCTTTAATGGTAGTGAACGCTTCCTTTATTCCCATTCTTGGGTTTAAAATGGTCTGCAACATTAACTATTAAAGGTTAGTCTACACATAGACCCAACAACTCTTGCAGTTAATCATTGTAGACAAATGCTATAGTCAGTGTCTGTATTACGGGTAGAAACAACAAAGAAAATGTTACCTGCGCTCTCCTTAATCCCTATGTATTTAGACAAATGGAGGTCATTTAGTTGCTCCAATGGCCATTGGAGGGAATGCCCGCCTGCCAACGTCAAGGCAGACCCCCTAAAGCGGCTCCTAACACTGACCCTTCAGCCTGCTTCCTTGAGCTTCTGGCAAAGATATCTCTAATGAGACAGGTGTATTTATATACACCGCTATATAATTAACCCTTAATAGGGAACACATGGGATGGGTGGCAGCATTGTAACAAGGCTGTGTGATACAAAGTAAATACAAAAAGATAAGTCCTGTGCTCACTCCCATCACTACTGGGCAGGCAGCAATGACTACAGTACACATCAGCCCCAATATATAGTAAAAACCAAAGAAAAGCTACCTGCGCTCTCTCCTTAATCCCTATGTATAATTAGACAAATGGAGGTCATTTAGCTGCTCCAATGGCTTTTTACTATATATTGGGGCTGATGTGTACTGTAGTCATTGCTGCCAGCCCAGTAGTGATGGGAGTGAGCACAGGACTTTTGTATGTATTAAGGGTGAAATATTTTAGGTTTATACTTTAAATAAACAGTTGTGATTTCCTTCAAGATCACCCAAAAATGAGCAATTAAAAAAATTACTCAGTACATAAGCTATGTTAAAGTTCAGATGGTACAACTTAACAGATCCTACAACCTAGATGATATGGATAAAATGGATACATGTAGAAATCTAGTGGGTGGTGTATAGCTTGCTATCCAAACTCAAAACCTAGTGGTAAAAGTCCACTTAGAATTTGTATTCCCTGATGGGTTTAAAGCAAGCTTCCCTAAACTCCAGCCCTCCAGATGTTGAACTACAAATCCATGATTCTATGAATCATTGAGTTTGGGGAAGCCTGGTTTATGGTCTTGCTTGTTTGAAGTCTTTGTAGCAGTTTCTGCTCAGTAACTGACAAACAATGCTGTAGACTGCAAATTACTAGAACCTCTAGCTTTCTGACATGTCCTGTAGTACTTGTTTGATGCAAAAGTGCAAGAATATCATTTAGTAAATGTATATTCTACTACACACAAGCCTGGGACACGCTGATCTTCAAAATATGGGCATCAGATGTTGGAGAGCAGGATTAACTGCTTTCTAAATGATTAATGGAAGCTTCATTCTCACTTAGGTGATCATTCTGAACCATCCTGGATTTATTAGGGCTGGATATTCACCTGTGATAGACTGTCACACTGCCCATGTAACATGCCAGTTTACTGAGCTTCAAGAGAAGATTGACCGGAGATCTGGCAAAAACCTGGAGGACAATCCTCTGGCCCTGAAATCAGGAGATGCGGCCATTATCAAACTGAAGCCTATCAAACCATTCTGCGTTGAACGCTTCTTTGACTATCCACCTCTAGGTTAGTGGGCATTCCTGCAAAGTGCCGAAACTTGTTGTATAGTATGACCATCATCTTTGGTAGATTGTGGTAAGTTTGCAAACTGACTCTGCAACATCTAAAGTTGAGGGTCTGGCCTAGAGTAAAATTTCTTATTATAGTAAAAGGTCTAGCTATTAACCTGTCATGCTTCTGGCAAACATAATGCAAACCTAAATATCTCCAGGTAACGAGTTTTATTATCTGTTACAGGGAGATTTGCTGCACGAGACTTGAAGCAAACTGTAGCAGTTGGGGTTGTGAAGTCTGTGGAGCGGAAGGCTGGGTATCCTGCTCGACAAGCTCAAAAAACGGTCCTAGTGAAATGAGTGTTCTGCATCCCCAGCTGGAAGTACCCAAAATTGTTCTGAGCAACTTAACTTTAATTTCTCTAATCAATTTTGTTCCTTAATGCAGAAATGGCATGACTGTTTACTTTAGTTGTGTATTGAAGGGTACTTCCCAAATAAAACTTGTAAAGCAAGTGGTATTGTGTCCCTTGTACTGTAGTTCTAAAACCATTAATGTAATGGGTACATGCCAACAAATGCAGGGTGAACGCAGCACTGTTAATGTCAACCCCTACTAAACATGCTCCTTAAAGGGATCCTATAGCTTCAGGAATACAGGTGGGTAGTTTAAAAAAAGTCTGTCCCCATGGCTCAAGTTGAAAAGGTATAATTTAGCACTAGTCTGATCAATGTGTACTCTACCCCTTGGCATGGAAATTATTAAACTTTATCTCATCCAATGCTTTCCCATAGGTAAAAATTTTGCATGGCAAAACACAGCACTGAGCTAATCTCCAGCTCAGAGGCATTGAATAAAGGCATGACTACTGGAGGTATCAGCTCCTCCATGCAGACTCTGAACACTGGTGCTGCAGCTAGTGGCAGTTTGAGTGACTGCTACAAGAAATTTCTTGCCAGTGTAAATATTGACATTCCTGGGGGAAGAGCCTGCAGGGACAGGCACACAAAACTACATTAAGCCATGGTTGTTGTGGTCCCCAAACTCCAGCTTAATTAACTAGTTTTGGTGTATAGATGATGCCCCTGCAATCAGACTCCTTGAATCTGCCACTTAGGAGTTAAATCACTTTTATACAAGCCTAGTAGGAACACACAGTGCACAACCTTCCTAAACACTTCCTTTATTGCAAATTCAGTTTAATCCCCTGCTCTGTTAATAGCTTGCTAGACCCTGCTGGAGCCTTTTGTGTAATTTAAGATACAAACTTCTAAAGCAAGCCATCATCGGATAGGAAAATTAAACTTTTTTTTTTTTTACATGCATCAAGACACAACTAGGGGAGGTGTGACTAGAGCTGCATAAACAGTGACTTCTCTTCTAAATGGCAAATGCTGAGAAGTGAGATTGCAGGGGCATGATCTATACACCCAAACGGCTTAATTGAGCTTGTTTTGGTGACTGAGGTTCCCCTTTAAATGCCAGACGCTTGTCTAAAATATGTAATATATCCTACAAAGGTCTGGGTCTGTTTGGTCAACGGAGTCTGAAACACATGCCTGTTAGTACTAACCCTGGCCCATAGATTCTAAAATTGTAAACCCTCCACTTTAATGAAGTGTGGGTTTTTTTTATGGGGTCAGTAGGGAGCTGATCTCTCCAGAGTGCAACCCTGAAACAGATCTCAAACTATTGTATCACGTGCCTTACGTCATGGGGTAAACTGGCTAGTTTGTAAGGTGGAGTGTACAGTCAAATGTAGCCAGTGTGGAATCTACTTGAGAGATCAGGTCTGAGTTTGACTGGTTTAAAGTAATCTTACCAGTTTGCAGTTATAACAGTGGTAAAAGTACTGTTGCTATTGATCAGTCTTGTTTAGTACCTACATTCACTGTAAAGAATAACTATAGATCTAGCAATGCCTAGCTAGTATTCAATGGCCTTGTCATTGAGACACAATCAAATCCAGTGGCCATCTGACAATGCCTGCTACATCTGTGTTGAAACAGACTTAAATAACACAAGCAGAGCTGTCTTGAGCAACTATTGAAAGTACAACTACTAAAGTATCATTGGATAAAATAAAACCCCTTGCGCTGCTGCTCAGTTACCTTCTCTTGGCTTCTGAAGAGATACAAAGCTGATGTGAGGATCTGAAACCATTGCCTAGCATCCCCAGCTGGTCTGGGGCTAATCTTTGAGGTATGTTCTAGTCAGTAGGTCCAAACTTCTTCCAGAAGGATTTTTCAAAATAAATGGCTATAACTTTCATATAAACTTTGCTCTAAACAAGTGAAATTATCAAGATGTGAGTTATTTTTCTTTTATACTAACCACTTTCTAAATAAGAAAATGGGAACTAATCTTGCATCTAAATATTCAGGTGACCTTCACAAACCGCTGCTACAGAGGAAGTAGCCACTTCTGTCAAATGACACAACATGGTTTTTATATAAAGAATTGTCAGGCTCAAAGGCCAGAGTATTAAATCAGCCATTCAAATCAGTTTCCACACCTTGTGTCAATCTTTCTATTTGATACAGGGTTGCATGCATAAAAGTAACCCCATGCATGTATTACCAGCAGTAGAAGAGGTAACACCTATTCCAAGATGTGGCATGCTCCCCAAAGAATCAGTGGTTGCTAAACAGAACATGGGGACAGTGACAGACATATGGACACATCAAAAAGGCAAAATAAAGCATGCTTTTGAGCAGCAAAGACCAATATTCTGATTAGAGCACTTTTGTGTAGATGGCCGGTTGGCATAGTCTGGAGTGCAAGCTTAGCTGTGGTTAAATTTGGCACCTTATGGGTTTAAAGGGACACTATAGTCACCCAGACCACTTCAGCTCAATGAAGTGGTCTGGGTGTCAAGTCCCTCTAGGGTTAACCCTGCCTGCTGTAAACATTACATTTGGGGTTAAGACAGCCACTAGAGGCGCATCGGCACTGATTGAGGCTTATTACGCCTCAATCATGCAGAGTGTCCATAGGAAAGCATTGAAAAATGCTTTCCTACAGACACTTTGAACACGTGCGCAGCTGTGCCACACATGCGCATTCGGCAACGTCGGCAGGGGAAAAGGGTGGGCGCCACGGGAGGGGGACCCTGAAGGTGGGGGCACCCTCAGGGTACTATAGTGTCCCTTTAAGCAGGGTATGCGTTTATGGGATTTGCAATGACCGTATTAAAACTGACGTGCCTCTGTGTTAAATACTAACCGCAGTATCTACTAATGTGAGAATTCAAGTGAATTTCAAATTTAAGGCTAAACTACAACCAGAGCATATAGAGCATTTTTTGGTTCAGCTTTAAGCTTAAATTTTAAGTTTATAACCCTATATGTGTAAAATACAAAGGCCCTACATTTTTAGGTTGTCCTTGCCAATCACACATGGACCAGTCACCATTCAAAGACCCCATTGGAGTGACGTGGCCTGGAATTGCTGCAGAGGTGATGCTGTCTGCCCTGCGGACACCAACATATGCCAGGAGCCCTGATTGGTGCTAGTGACAGCTGGGGGAATTGAAAAGGTGATGGCAATATCTCTGCATTTTGTCAATTTGAGAATATAAATTCTTATTTTGCCTTATGATGTATTTTTTGACTGCGTTGGAACTTCATTGAAATTCCAACAGTCTTTATGAGCATTTAAAGGAATACTATAGTCTCCGAAACAATTTTAGCTTCATGAAGCATTTTTGTGTATAGATCATGCTTCTGAAGTCTCCCTGCTCAATACTCTGCCATTTAGGAGTTAAAGGGACACTCCAGTGCCGGGAAAAAAAATCGTTTTCCTGGCACTGCAGGTCCCCACTCCCTCCCACCCCCCAGCCCATGTTGCTGAAGGGGTGAAAACCCCTTCAGTGACTTACCTGGGACCACCGCCTATGTCCCTCGGCGCTGGTTTAGGATCTGCCGATGCTCCTCTGCCGCCAGCGGGGGAGACAGATTGCACGGCCGCCAGCGGCATTAGACCTCCCCATAGGAAAGCATTGAAAATCTAGTAGACAGCCATTAGAGGTCGAGTTAACCCTGCAAGGTAATTATTGCAGTTTATGAAAACTGCAATATTTACAGTTGCAGGGTTAAGGGTAGTGGGCACCCAGACCACTCCAATGGGCAGAAGTGGTCTGGGTGCCTAGAGTGTCCCTTTAAATGACTTGTTTCTATTAATGCTGCCCTAGCTGTAACTGACAGACTGCATGAAAAAAAGGTGATTTTTTCAATCAGATGTTAACTTGCTTTAGAAGTTTTTAATCTCGTGCTCTCTCAATATAACTTTATTCACACACAGGAGGTTCTGAGTCTAGCAATCAATTAACAGATCAGGAGAGAAGAAATTCTAAATTACACTGCCTTCATTGCAAATTGTTTAAATTAGATGACTCTTTACAGGAAGTGTTTATGGAAGGCTGTGCAAGTCACATGCAGGGAGGAGTGACTAGGACTGTATAAACAAAGTGATTTAAATCCTAAATGGCAGAGGATTGAGCAGTGAGACTGCAGGGCCACGATCTATACACCTAAACTGCTTCATTAAAAGTTGTTTTGGGGACTATGCCAGGAAAACAAACTTGTTTTCCTAGCACTGTAGCTTTCTCCTTTGTCAAGACCCCCTCATGGTGCAGACTACGTTTGAAGTAGTCATGGATGAAGAAATTTAGCAGCACATCCAGAATTATTTGCACTTTTGATCCAGGGGCTGGTTACACCCCCAGCACACGTGACTTTGGCAGCCTGGAACTCTGTTTCGGACTGCATAATATCAATTCTGTGCATATTTTAAGTCTGGTGACAGGCACAATCTGCTTCTATCCTCCCTTCCTCCAGCCCTTCCAACTGCTTATACCCCCTGAAAAGCATTTTTATTGGACCATGAAACAGCAGGCATAATAGTAGGAGGGGGTATAAAGAATATTGCTCAATAGAGCATTATTATTATTTTTAATTTATAAGGTGTGGAGTAACCCTTTCAGCAGGTAGTAAGTACTATCAGAATACAATATGCTATTTATGCAAGTGAAAAGCAAAAATACATTTATACAACCCCTTTCTAGAACATGACCTCTTTAGATGCATTTTTTGTGTGTGCAAATAACGTGTCAGCGAGGGGGTTAATTAAGACAAAAACGGTTGCCTTTGTAAGACAATTTATCATCCCCTGGCTGAAAGTTAGTCTAAATGGTTTATCTCCCCATATTGCAAAATGTGTTTAATTTAGAATGTCTTATCTTCTGCTCCACTAATGGCCTGCTAGTAGAGTCTACAGCAGCCCTGTGCGTGATTAGAGTTCGTTTAAAATTGTAAGAGGTTAATGTAAACACACTGCTGTAAAAGTGAAACCTTTTTTTTCATGAAGGCTATGTAAGTGACAGCCAAGGGAGGTGTGGCTAGGGCTGCATTAAAAAAGAGATTAAACTCATTTATTCAGAAAAACATCAGATTTCCTTGAAAAGGTCATAATTATTAACCCCTTTAAGACCGCGGATGTACTAGGTACTTCCGACAAACAGTCCTTAAGGACCTCGGACAACCTAGTACATCTGCTGTATTCCTTAATACTTACCCGATCACAGCCATTCCCCTGCCAGCGATCGGTGTCGCTCGTGGTCTGGGGGGACTGCCTGACAGCCCAAACAGTTCCAGTTCCCCCTCGGCAAATTAGGCCCCCGCGGGCCATGTAATCGCTCTGAAACTGAACTGACAAGCAGTCTCCCTGCATGTGCAAAATAAAAATATAATTATATATCTACATAAAATATATCATATTTAACGTCATACCAAGTATTTTTTTTTTATCAATATATACATATATTAATATAAAAATACACTTGGCGTAAAATTACACATGTATATAATCTATAATAACTATATATATTGAGTATATTATATTAAAAAAAAATATATAAATATCAAAATACACTTCGAATAAAAAAATAAATATATATATATATAAATAAAAATACAAAATATATATACAAATGTATTTATTTAAATTATCCGTGCATATTTATGTAATATTTTTAAATAAGTAATTTTATTGATTACAATTTGAGGGACCTGCCTGACAACCCAGGCCGAAAGTCCAGAGAATTTAATTTGCTAGCACTGTATTTAACCCTTTAACTTTCCAAGACACCCTACGTGGGGGGTACTGTTTTACTTGGGAGACTTCGCCGAACACAAATATTAGTGTTTCAAAACGGCGATGATATTGTCAGTTGACATTTTTTACACAAAAAGGGCACTTTCACTGATGATAGAATTGTTGTGATACGTTTTACTGTTTTGAAACACTAATATTTGTGTTCAGCGAAGTCTCCCGAGTAAAACAGTACCCCCCATGTACAGGTTTTATAGTGTTTTTGAAAGTTACAGGGTCAAACAAAAGGCTTGATTTTCCATTTTTTCACATTGTAGTTTGCCAGATTGGTTATGTTGCCTTTGAGAGCGTATGGTAGCCCAGGAATGAGAATTACCCCCATGATGGCATACCATTTGCAAAAGAAGTCACAAACACTGGCCAAAGTTAGCATTTATATTTGTTTGTTAAAAATGCAAAAAACTATTATGAACGCTAACCTGGACATACCCCATATTGAATACCTTGGGTTGTCTACTGTAAAAAAATATGTACATGTGAGATGTGATTCAGAGATTTATGACCGATAATAGTGTTACAATGTCACTATTGACACATTTAAAAATATATATATTTTGAAACAGCAATGTTTATAGCCCTATAACTTGCAAAAAATAAAAAAATTTAAAAAAAGGTAAAAACATGTTAACATTGGGTATTTCTAAACTCAGGACAAAATTTAGAAACTAGCACAGATTCTTTTTGGCGGTCAAAGTTAGAAAAGGTGTGTTTTCTTTATTTTTTTCATCATATTTTATAAAAAAATGTTATAGTAAATTATACGATATTCTGAAAATAATGGTATTTTTAGAAAGACCATTTAATGGAGAGAAAAACTGTAATATGTGTGGGTTCAGTAAATGAGTAAGAGGACAATTACAGTTAAACACAAACACCGCAGAAATGTAAAAACAGCCCTGGTCCTTAACGGTAAGAAAATTAAAAAACAAACATTCTGGTCAGTAAAGGGTTATAGGAACACTACACGCACCATAACAAAGCACTATAATAGTTATGGTGGAAAGTGTGTTCTGGGCACTGCTCTCTCCTCTTCTTGGTAGGAGCTTCCATTAGTCCTTATGTAGCGTTATGGTGCTTTAAAAGTGTTTCTTTAATGTAAGTTAATAGTCTGACAACTCTAGATGGCAGATAATAAATGACCTCTAACTACACTTGTACTATTTCTCAAGAGTGATTAGAACCATTTCTATTTTAAAATGTAAGTGATGTGTTTGTGGAATGTGTATAAAAAGATGTGGATTTTTTTTTTTTTTTTTTACATAATTATGAAACAAAAAAAAAGCCAAGGAAAAAACAAACGAAAAGGTAGAATTTTCCCATATAGATTTTCCACTCCACCCATCATAATCAAACCGTCTTCAAAATTCATATACATCAACATCATATTACAAAGCAACTAAAAACACACAGGCTTTATGGAAGTTTAAAACATTTTTATTTATAATATGGAATGATTAATAAAATCAGCTCTTAATTTTGCATTAAAAACAGTATACTGTACCATGTTGTTCAAATACTGGTCAAGGGGAAAGCCGTAGGTATTTAGCCTACAACATTTTGTTCTTTCTTTTGCAAATTTGCTTGGGGTACGCGGTATTTTACCCCTGCTATTGCATATAGCTGATATACTTGCAAATAATATAACATTTTTCCCATGCAAAATCTCAATGATTGGTTCAAATAGTTAAGTTAAAAAGAGCCCAATTAGTCTTAAATTAATGTACTGAAAGCTATCCTGATGTCCTCTTTGCCCTAAATTAAGAAGAAAAAGTAGGAACTATAAATATTTTTTATTATACATGCAAAAAATATGTGCCTTAAAAAATTAAAAAGTGATTTCTCATACGAGATCTGTAAACAAGAAATATATCTAGAAGTGCAGAGAAATTGGATAAAGCAGAAAAGGTTTTATTGTTGCAGGTATATATATGGTATCAGGTTTGAATGGGCAAAAGAAAAAAATTAAAAAAATCTATATGTATATAGTAATTTATCAATAAACAAATAATTAAAAAAATACAAATTGTACAGTTTAGGCTAAAATAACAAAGTGGGAGAATTTTTTGTTTCCCTCCTCTGTCTGATATTTTGGTCCAAAATTTGCATTTGTTTTTTTTAATTCATTGTTGAGTGGGACCAAAAAAAAAAAGCAAAAAAAAACAAGTGTCCCCCTACTTTTCCCTCAGAAAAAAAAAATCATTCATACCACAGATCAAACACATCAAAGTTCCAGTACATTAAACAATATTCCATCCACGGCTGAAGAATCCTGCAACAGCCCCCCCGCCGCCCCCCAATAGGGCATTAACCCTTTACAGTTCCACCAATAGACACTTCCAGCAACTGCGCTAAGAACGCCATGTTAAAATATTTAATAAGCTAATTGCCTAACAATATACACAAAAAATTCAACTTTACATTGAACCTAATAATAATTTATGGTACAGATTAAATTATATATAAAAACTAAAAACATAAAAAAAATATACATAGGCATAGTACTTGAGCTATTTATTTTTGTTGTGAAGACCTCAAAGTCTCTCCATTTGATCCAAAGATATATATGGTAATACTGTTTTCTATTTCACATACTCATTCAAAACGGAAAACTGAAAAACTAGGCCCCCCCAAAATATTTTCCCTTGGTTGTTTTTGTCATCAGCTAGAACACCTTGGCCCAGGAATAAAATAAAATATAAAGGATGCGACTGTAATTCAATTCCCATTTTAACACTTTCAGTGCTTGAGGAGTGCCAATGCATTCTTTTAAAAGGCAATAGGTTCGCCACCGGAACACGAAAGGATAAATGCAGGTTTCAAGTATGCTGGAATTGTGTATAGAAATGCATGCATAATGTAAACAGACTAATATTGTTTAGCAGTCATTAGTTTTAGGTCCGATGAAATTAACCGGAAATGTCTTATTTTTTTATATATATGTATAATATATATATATATATTTATATGTATATACTTCTAATAAAAGAAGACTTTAGATAGAAATATAATTTCTGTCACTACTAGTAGCAAAGTAACAGTAACTGATGTTTTAAAAAAAATACTGGGCACATAAATATGATCATTAATTGAAACGTTTTTGAACTTGCCTTTTCTTAATAAATACTTTGCTTGAATCTTGATAGCTCAAATGTGTGTGTATAAGCCATTATCGGCAGATTGGAAGAGCCTAGTCCACCCTAGTATTATTGTGTCCCTTGTTTGAAACCGTACCTACGGGAGATGATATCTTATCTAGATCAGACATCCACAAATGTGCGAACACTCAGGGGCATTTTAGTTCAAAGTTTTGAAATCTAACCTCTCCGAACAGAGACTGCATAGAGGAGTAAGGATTATTCTCTAATAGCAAATAACATTTCATGTACATCCCCCCCCCCAGATTGAATATCACAATGTGTAGATCAAATGTTATTGTCTATAAGTCGCCAATGTCTTTTTATTCCAAATTAAAAGTATTCTGTCAAATGAACAGTATTTCCAGATGCGTACAAGGTATAGCAAGCCTTTATATATTATGTTCAGGAAACGGCAATCAAATGCACAGATCAATTTATCAGAAAATACATTTGACAATGTATCCCATATGCCCATGCATTACTCTACAAGGCAGCAGTGCAATTGCACATGGACTTGTATAGTAAAACCAGGGTTTTTCTGTTGATCTATACACAATCTTGCAAGATGTAGCTATAGTACAGGAGTTCTAATTGCACACTGTAAACACTGCTTAGGTGACAGAGCAGCTTTAACTTTTTTTCAGGCACAAGAGATTGAAATGCACAGTGCTATCTCCCTTTCTGGTACTTGAAGCTCTGATCTAGGTAGTGTTGTACATGGTATCAGGGACTTGTTATGCTGGTATCAGAAGTGATTTAATACAGAGGGTAAAGGTCGTAGAGGGGGAATGGTTTTAGACAGGTGTAGTATGGAGTGCCTCTTTTATCCCCTCTCCCCCAAGGCTTCTATAGCTATCTTAATACTGGCAGAGGTGGAATTACATAGTAAAGTTACAATACATAGAGAGTTCGGCACATGATGTGGTACTGAATGATGTGAACTTCGTAACAGCAGCTTATATACAGTGTGGAGTACGGCAACACAAGGAACACGGCTGCAATCTTGCTAAGAAGCCTGTCCTGGGTGGAGGACACACAATGCTGTAGTATGTATGTTACATGTAGAACAGACTATTCTGACAAGATGTGAACAAACGACACTGGGAAGACTCCTTTCCTGTCGGGATGTCCTTCAATGTGGCCAATCTGTTGGAGGATAGAAAATGGTTGAATTAGGTAATGATTTAGTGACGGTAACAGTATTTGACCTTGCCAGATAACATGTGACTGACATTCTTCAACTTGAACCCTTACTACGGAGTTATCTTGGCAGCAATACATTCTCCTACTACAGCGAGAAAGCAGTTAAAATAATTAACCATCTTTCCCAGCAAGAAAAACTCTTATACAACTCTACCGATTGTGTCCAACGATCTCATGATACATACCCACCACTCCTGGTCCTCTTCGCCAGTCACTATAATAACTTCTCCTTCAACAAATGTAAGCTCGTCATCATTGTCCGCTTGGCAATCATATATTGTTTTAACGCGTTTCAGTTTGTTCTTTCCCTGATTTAAAAAAAAAAAAAAAAGGGGAAAAAATTAAAATTTTACAAAAGAAAAAATAAATAAGAAAATTATCTTACTGGCATCTACATACACTAGAAGCTGAACTGTACTCAGCAACTATAAAATTAATTAACAGATCATTATTTTACATGCACTAACTATACCTGAATATCGTAATATTCAGAATTCATAACAATCTAGGTTTTCACAGTGCCTGGACATACAACAATATCATATACAACTAAATGGAGTGTAAGATAAAAATTAACTCAGATTTCCAGATTAGGACATTACTTCTTTGTAGAATTGTCTTGTTCATGTTTCAAAAAGCAGGCTGTCTTTTTATAGCTCATATGAGAACAGTGAGAAATACAAAGTCCTTACACAACGAAACTAAATGGTATAATAGAAAAATAATACAGATAATGGGGTTAAGAAAAATATCTGGTGAGCCATCACACCTGAATTCAGCATTACATTAAAATAAATATATGACATTTTACTAAAAGGAGTTAAGTTCAGAATATTAACAAATACAGGTTTGCATTAAATGTGTTTTAGGAAGTCAATATAAGAGTTCTGATAATGGATTAGTGCAAAATACGGTCTGCTGTGTCCTGACAGTGCTGTGAAAGGATTACTCCGGCTTAGGGATACTTCCAAAAGCAAGTCAATCCTTCTTCATGACATGTATATGCAAGCTTCATTGCCAGAGCATCAATCTTAGAATGGACTTATACGTCACTCTGTTCTGTAACCATAACAACCACAGCACATACACTATAGCTGCTATGCTGGAAAGCAGGACAACACTTGCAGAAGGGTTCTCCTGCTCTCCCTGTCAGTCAGTTCTCAGACACCAGGGTCTATACCAACTTAATGCTGAAAAAATGATTGACAGTTGGAAGAGCACATATTTTTAAAATAGATTTTTATGCTATCAATTCAGCTAGCACAATGTAAAGATGGTGTTTTGCTTATTTTTGAACTAAGCAGAAACGTGTGTGTATCATGACAGGTACACTTTAAGGATACGAACGGTTTCATCTGGAAATTCACATTATGAAGACCCTTTTATATTAAACCAGTTGATTGATACGTGTATATAGGTGTTTAGACAAACAAAATGTAACATATTTAGTGGGTTTATTAGATAATCAGAAGGAGGATTTGACACGTGCAGAGTTAGTCTAATGATGGAATCGATTGAATACGTTTTAAAGTGATCTATGTACAGATGTCACTATTGAGATGAGATTTGCTTGTGGAAAAATCATTTGGAAAGATGTGTTAATCATTATTGGATCATTTGGTAAGCTTATTAAATCAAGACGTCTCACATGGGTTCTCATTCCAAAGTTACCTCACGATACAGCCCTATCTAAGATGGGGGTATATAGAAACCCCTTATTCCACTGTTCTGTAACACATGAGTTCAGGAGGAGTGACCTCGTCATAGACTCAGTAACCATGTTCTACAAATCAGAAATGTGGAGAAGAGAGGGGTAATTGTCATAAATGGATTAGAGCAAGTAGCAAACAAAAATAACTTTATTCCACCAATGTGTACCTTACAACATTTCCATCCCAAGCCTTGACAAAGATCCTACGTGGGATTAAAATGTTGCCAGGTCCATATGGAGGGATATTAAAGGAATCCTGGGGCCCAGCATTCGCAGTTATTTTCTACAGAGTGTCATCTCACTTATATCTTTCTTTAAAAAGCATGGAGACTTACATGGAAGAAGCTGGGATCATTTTAAATGACCCTCCTTATCTCGGATATGAACTACAAAGCAACATGTATTAACGCATAATTATTTTAAAATATATATTTTTTTCAGGTCAAAGCAATGAACAGCAGCATCTTATTGTCATGGTTTTCTGGATGTAGTTGCATAGACGGATAACCTGTGGAGATATAGGCCTGACCTCTACCACCGTTACATTGATGACATTTTGTTCATATGGATACCTGCTCTACAGGGGATTGATGATTTTATAAGACACAAACAAATATAGTCATCTTTTACATATAACATTAATTTTTCAGATGTATTCTAGTCTGGAGAAGGGAACATCATTCTTCACTATTTCTTATGGTGGACCTGTGACTGCAAATGGCTAGTATCAGGTGTATAGTGGGCTTAATCCAATATGGATTCAAAATGTATCATTCAAGCAGTTTATATGGATCTGCCACAACTGCACATTTAGGGAGATTATGATAGGGTGGGATTAACTTTTAAGGGGTTAATTCCGGGAAATAATTAACCGGTAATAACATACGTGCAGCTTATTTTAAAGCAACACATTTGGACAGGAGAATAAATATTACTCAGGAGCTAAGTAGGGTAATCCACAGAGTGCCATTGAAAATGTAACCTCTATGGATCTTAAACTCAAGAGCCGCGCGCACATTCAGTTAGTCCATAGGAAAGCATTCTCAATGCTTTCCTATGGACGCTGGCGTCTTCTCACTGTGAAAAATCACAGTGAGAAGCGAGGAAGCGCCTCTGGCGGCTGTAGATGAGACAGCCACTAGAGGCTGGATTAACCCTAATATAAACATAGCAGTTCCTCTAAAACTGTTATGTTTACAGCAGGCAGGGTTAACCCTAGAGGGACCTGGTATCCAGGCCACTTCATTGAGCTGAAGTGGTCTGGGTGCCTATAGTGGTCCTTGAATGTAGTTGTTCTGGTGCCTGTAGCCTTTTCAATGTAAACATTGCCTTTTCAGAGAAAAGGCAGTGTTTACATTGCTGCCTAGTAACATCTCTAGTGACAGTCACTCAGACGCCACTAGAGAGTCCTGTGTCAGTGTTGCATAGTGTGCAGCACCTTTGTTCAGCGTCTCCACACTCTGCATGGAGGTGCTTAATGTTACCCATTGATATCATGCGCAATATCCTCCCCAATGCTTTCCGATAGGAAAGCATTGGTTTAGCGGAAATCTTAAAGATTGATTAATTCACCCATGAAGGCAGGACAAGCCGTGGAAAACTGGCACGGCGTGGGAAAGAAGGTGAGTAAAAATACCTCTCTCGTGGTCGGGGTGCAGGTACCTAAACAGACACAAGAAGACACACACACACTAACACACTGACAGAAACACACACATTATCAGTATCAGATACAATATTGTACAAACGCTCTGCATTCTAATGCAGATGCATTCTCTAGACTTCCATTGAAAATTGATTCACAATTAACTACCACAGAAAGATCTACAATATTTTTCAGTGAGGTGATAACAGCCAGAGAAATTGCACAGGAGACAGCCAAGGACTCTTTGCTGAGGGAAATACTTGTT